ACGCATCCTGAGGGGACTAGCTCAGTGCGAAGGCCTTGGGTTTCAAGCCCAGTATGAAGAAAGAAAGGGAGGGAGGGGGACAGGAAGGGAGAAGAGAGGGGTGGGGGAAAGAAAGATGGAAGGAGACAGAAAGGGTAAATGGAAAATACGTTCTCTTCAGGCAGAAAGACTGATAATACTCAGTGTGGGTGAGTGAGCATGAAAGGGAAATTCATGAGTGCACTGTACCTTTTCGGAGGGTAACTGGGCAGAGAATAAGCACACTTGTAGAGTGCGTTCCTTTGCAGCCGTGATGATCCTCTTCGGGAACTAGTAACACCGAGAAATTAAACCTCCCTTGGAAGGCGTCAGCCCGGGACCACGGGTGAAATCTCAACTGACACGCAGTGGTCGCGGGTCAAGCAGAGCACAGGAGTCGTACGTAAGTTATCACCCTCGCTATCAAGTTCCAGGGCTCACACCTCGGTCCCGTCCCTGTTCTGGAAAATCCGCGCAGTCATTTTGGCCTCGTGGCAGAACTTCAGGATCCTGCTTCCCACAGGAAACCCCAGCTGCAGAGGAGAAGCCCGAAGCGCCTCCAATCAGACTGGTACAAGTGTGGATGCCAGGCTGACTGGTAGGAAAGGCCCGTAGGGGCTCACATTTCAGAGACTCTGGATCCATCGCATTGGAAATGGGCAGCTCACTTGCACCCAGGGTCTCCTACACCTTCCAGCACCCTCTGCCATTTCATTCCGGCGGTGCATATTCACCAACGCCCTGCAAGCCGGCTTACCCCAACTGAGCCTTCAGACCCATCGATTCCAAGCCACTGCCCTACACTGCAGCTCATTCCTCCAAGACTGCCCCAGGCCTGCCACTCCAGTCCACTTACGCCAAACACTGCGCTACCCAAAGTGCTCTCCAGCCGCCCAGACCTACCTATTCTTCGCTACTCCCGGGTGGGAATCAACTGCCGCAGTGCACTTCACCGTTGATGCTCTCTGTGTGGTTTCTGTGTCAGTGAAGCAGCGAGGCAGGAATACCGCACACTTCCCGGCGTGCCCTCCCTGCTCCCCTGTCCTTAATAGCCAGCAGCTCACCAATCAGCTGGATCTACGGCTGCACCGGACAAACAGGTTAACTCAGCAGAGGCAACCCATTCCTGGTCCTCAGGTTCACACATACTTCCTTTCCCACGAGGACGGGGACAAGGCTCGGCCTGGAGCATAATTCTACCATGGTTTCTGCCACCGACTTAAATCAGAGAGAAAGTCACTGAAGCTCTCTCCTAGTCTCGTTCATCCAAACTGCAGTTATACCTTGTTTTACACAATGTGCGTGACCCTGAAAGACTAAATGGCTAATTTAATGTGTGTAAATCCTAGCATAAAGTCTTGAGACTTGTCATTTTAAACTCTTCCACTCTCGAATTAAAAGATTTATTTCCTTCTTAGTCCCCCCTTCTCTTCTGATTGAACCCAGGACCTTCAGTCTGAGCTACATACCCAGCCCCCCGCCCTTTTCTGAGACACAGTCAAAAAAAATAAAAAAAAAAAAAAAAAAAAGCTTTGGCTGGGCTCAAAACTGTGATCTTCCCCCCTCCGTCTCCTGGAGTGCTGGGCTGGGATTATTGCAGGTGTGAGTCACCAGGCCTGGGTTTCTTAATCTTTTTAAAAATTCTGAGATAAGACATAAATATGCAGCCAGGCCTGGTGGTACACACCAGTAATCCCAGCACTTGGGGGCTGAGGCAGGAAGATCCAAAGTGCAAGCCCAACCTGCTGGGCAATTTAGCAAGATCCTCTCTCAAAAAAGAAGGCTGGGGATTCAGGTCAGTGTGAAGGCCCTGGGTTCGGTCCCCAGTACTGCCTGTATCTAATATATCTATATAGATGTGCTTCAGCAGATGAAGTGCATGACTACTGTTCAGTCCTGGCCAGCACTGCTGTTTAATCACAGAAGAAAACATGAGAATCCATCACACGTAATAAAAGTATTATTCCATAAAGTTGTGTATGTATGGGTGCGCATAAATGTATAAAACTACTGAATCATGATATAAAATTAATTCCTTATTGAGCTGGGGGTTTAGCTCAGTGGTTCCACCGCCTGCCTCACAAGTGCAAGGCCCAGAGTCTGATCCCCAGTACAAAAAAAAAAAAAAAAAAAAAAAAAAATTGCAAGCCACTGATACATGGTAAGATTATTTAAACATTTCCCTGCTTACTAGGTTTATTTAGGATGTGTCCAAACAAGATGTTTTATTACTCTAGGCCAATGTTTTCTAACTTTCTGTGGTGCTGGGGATTTAACCCAGAACCTCATGCATGCTAGGCAAGCCCTCTACCACTGAGTAACATCTCCAATCGCTTCCAAAATCTAACTTCAACAAAGCTTTCTTAACTTAAATCTTTAAATTCTGATTTTACACACACACACACACACACACACACACACACACACATAATTGAAATACATTGCATGAGATAATACTTAGCCTTACTGTCTTCATTGCTTTCTGATTATTTCCTATTTTGTTTTTTAAAAATGCTGATGGTGACTTAATAAACTGATTTCATTACCCGCTAAAGAGCTGTGACTTGGCTAAAGTCTGAAATGCATCACTGACGATAAAAAAGGAAAGAAAGAAAGAAAGAAAGAGGAAGGAAGGAAGGGAGGGAGGGAGAACTACTGCACTTTCCAAACAAGGATCCTCAGAGCGCAGAAGGGCACAACCACCCACGTTGAAGATTGGGGGAGCAGAGAAGACTCGGGCCGTGTGCAGTAAAATGAGTGTGGCAAGGACAGCCCTGGGCAGGATGCACAAGGGCATTAGTTGGCATCGGAAGTGTGTTCCGCGGAGACAGGCAACCAGGCTGAGCACTCAAACAGCCCCAGCTCACCAGCCACCAAGTCAGCCAACAACACCACTTCCTTCAGCCTCCGACCCGCAAAGCCTACACAGGCCTGCTCCAGTTTCACCAGCCCACCCCCCAACCCCCATCCCCACGGCCTGACTTCCAGGAAGCGCGGTTGGGCGTGAGGCCGCCCCTTCTCAGTCCTGGCCTCCAGCCCCGCTCTGGTGTAAGATTTCTCTTTCTCCACAGGACAGCTGAAAAGCCTTCCGTGGCAGCCAAACACCGGTGCTCCGCTGGAGGGGAGGGCGAGAAGCTGGTCCTTGTCGGGGCCACCGCCCCGTCCCTGGGGGCTAGAATGTGTGGATGGAGCCTGCCTGTGGTCTAGGGCCAGGTCCTGGGCACCCGCCCGTCCCAGTTCACGCCGTGCCGTGAGCCAGTCTGTGCACTTCCTTGGCCCACCTGGCGGTGGGCACAGCCAGGCAGCCGGGTCCTCTGACCCGGCACTAGGTGACTTGTCACCTGATCGAGCGTCCCACGCCTGTCAGCCAAAACGTCTCCGAGAACCGGACAGGGGCTGCACACGTGGATACCATGGGGCCAGCCGCCTGGGGGCAGGGTCCGGGCAAAAAAACGCAGCAGATAAGAGGGCGGACAAGGGAGGCGCGGGCAGTTTCCAGGCCAGCTAGGGCAACAGCCACAGCTCTGCGGAAAGGTCCTCGGAGGAAAGGATGGCTGAGGGGCGGACTCGCGTCTAGGCGGGCATGGCGCAGCTCCAGGCAACTGTGGGATTTGCGGGTGGGGAGTATAGTTGGGCAGATTACAGAGGGAGGAAGCGCAGGAACTGGAGTGTTTACAAAACAAAGGTCCTAAACCAGGCGTGGTGCTGCACTCCTGCTAAGAGCCAGAGGGAGGAGGTTCACAAATTCCAGCCCAGACTGGACAATTTAGAAAGCATGAATGAATGAATGAATGAATAAAACAGGAGTGTACCTCAGAGGTAGAGCGACCCAGGGTTCAAACCCAGCGCCCTAAGGGGGGGAAAAATGTCCTAAAACTGGACAGGTTCAAGAAACTTGGCAGGATTTTTTCCAACAAGGTAACGGTTGTAAGTACATTAATTACAGATAACAAGTGGAGATGTCCCTAAGATTTATTAAGGGAAAAAAATCCCCTCGCTGCGTCGCAGAGCAGGTTCTAGTGTACCCGGATCCCTCCAGATCAGCCCCGAGGTCAGAGGTGCAGGCCGCGTGGGCGGCCAGAAGCGCTAGCTGCGCCCCCGGGAGGCGGCGGGGCGGTGAAAGCTCGCAGCGGTCTTGCATCAGACCCAGGGCGGGCGGTGCGCTT